AGAGAAATGGCTAGTTCTTGCACCCTTCTACCACTTTTTTCTGAGCCCAAAGCCTTGTTTCGTTCTTCCTTCCTTCCTCTTACATGTTGACCTGATGAAGCTGACCTGCATTTCCTGCGTCAAAATGAAAACTATATTCTGCTTTTCCTTTTTCATTGTTGAATTGTTTGCTCATATTTCCTCAGAGAGGGATGCAAACTCCGAGGCTTTTGTTCTTGTTTTGGATGCCGTTTCCGCTCAGCCGCTCAATTGATCAGCGATACAAACATGCACACAGGCGCGTGCACGTGCAGCAGCCTCCTGATGATAACAACCTTCCTGTTAATGGACATGTTTAGTCTGTAACTTGTATGTTTCGAGGAGTGCGACTAACTTGCACGCTTACTGTAGCTCCTCTGGCCTGGTGGCTTTGTGTCCAAGTGGATTCATTTGATTCCATTCCACACAATGCAACCTGTCTCTTACCTCACCTGCTTTGTTCGTCCAAAAATACCTTCCCAGTGCTGCGGGGGTGTTGGAAACTGTGAAAGTAGGTTGTGACAGGAGGCCATCGTGTCCGTTCACGCAGGCAGAGTACAATGGCACAAATTCCAATCTACTGATTTTAATTTGCTGTGACAGTGATGACAAACAACGGGATGGTTTTAATGTTGCCTGTCATTGCCCATCTAGGCAGAATCACACACGCTGTTTTTAATTGACCCAAGAGGTTGGAATAACTTTCTCTTGTGGTTCTGTTAAGAAGTTATTTAAGGTGTTTTGCTGGCTTTAAATAAAAACAAAACATGGTAGAAAGAGAGAAAACAATAGGAACAGTGTACAGGGAATGAAGACACAGACGGGTTCAAAGAGGCGGACAGTTGAAGTGAAGTTCCTGCTCTTTGTGCTAAGCCTGGAGGGACCCTCAGCCTTGTTGTAGCCCCCATGGAGAGAATTTAAGAGGGTCAACTTTAACAAGGGCTGTATTGATTCTCTGTGTTTGAGAGAGGAGAGTGTGTCTGTTTTTGAATAGTAGGATGAGGACAAGACAGGGGAGGCGCTGCTTTTTGTCTCCACGCTTAAGCCTCCATTCAGCCAAGACGCAGGGGGCAACACTTGGTGGTCCAGCCTTCAGGGGATTGCATAATTATTTTTACATTTTGTAGTCATGATATCCAATATTGAGCAACATACACCTAAGGTGCTCTCATTTGTCATTTATTTCTTGAAATAAAATGCTACATATAATCTAGACAATATATTTTTGCGTTAAAGTTAAACTTTAAAAATAGCACTTTTCCATCCCGGCTCTTGAAAAGTTTTAAATGCTAAAGTTAGCTGGAATTTTACACTTAAAATGGTTAAAATGAAGTCCTGTCCATAGGAATAATTAGGTGTTAGGCATTTCAACCCAAGCGCCTGTCGAAGGCTTTATAAGGCCATTGAGAAAAGCAGCAACACTTTTACAAGTTGCATGTGGCTGTTTCAGTACAACGTTGGCAAGGCTACAGAGAAATACTTTTTTTTGTAGAGTTCATGACTACAGCAAACAGTCATTTCCTTGACTGGTTAATCGTTTAAAAAAAAAAGAAAAAGTTGATAGTTTAGTCTTCAAACTGTGAAAAATCATGAATTTGAGAATCCCAAATCTTCAGATATACAGTTTTGTCAGATAGCATGGAGTAGAACAGCATGAAATCCTCACACATAGATAGAACCAGAGAGTGATGCTCTTTAAATTCAAAGATAAAATTGATCATTGACTCAAAATTAGTGTTGATTTTCTATTGATCCAACTAATTGACTGATTGTTTTATTTCTTTTATGGCTGTGGCGTAACAGATGAAATGTAAAATAAGGATGTTTCCGTTGATTTTTGGTGATATTATTGTGATGATTATAATCATCTGTTTTCAGCAAAAATGCCCACAATTAACTGGTTCAATTAAATTCATAAAAACTGAATAACAATTTGTACTTAAAAAGAATTCATACATGAAATTGTAAACAAATTAGTCTAGTTAAAATTATAATTTGTTAATTCCTTTAAATGATGTATGAACAGCACTACTACTCCTATCAGTACTGCTCATCAGTCCAGTACTACTACTGTCGGTCTTGTGGGTTTTTTGGGGGTTGTTTTTTTAAAGAAAAATTTTAAAAGGAGAACTGACGTTGCCTTTTTTTAATTTCCTCTTTTACGCTTTCCTTTTTTTTTTACGAGAAAATGTAATGCAAGACCTTTTCTTTGACAGTGTTTTTACTGTTGAGCAACAATAGTTTTACTTAGAAAAACTATTTGAGCAGCGTGAATTTCTTCAACAGTTTGCATGATGCACAGATCATTTCAGATTTAATTTATCAACACAGTCATAACTAGCAACAGGTTGACTAATGGCTGTTTTAGTCATTAAGTCATATTCGTATAATTTGCTCAACTCCATGTGAGGACTCTATGCTGCTAACAGCCAAACATAACTTACCTGAAGCAATGAGAGATGAACTATGAGCGAGGCAGCTGTAAACTTTATGTGATGAATTTTCCACTGGATGTTTTTCTACAGATTGTGTTTTCACCCTTATATACAATAGACTGCCAAAGACTTGTTTATTACCAGCCATCCCTTGCATTCAGTGTGTTTTGCTTTCAAAGATTCTAATGACATGTGCTATTTAACATTTCAAATCAGTATTTTATCTTATTTAAAGGTCTCTGTCCTAACTTCACCAGGTTTTTACGCTTTTTGTCTTTTGCTTTATCACGTTGATCAGCCACGTTGCTGGTCTCTGCTGGAGCGTCACTCCACCTGACCAGTGCTGAACGTCTTACCTCTGAGAAAACTCAAGGCTGTTGAATATTATCACACAGATTCACACAGTTCTAAGAACAACCAGATGACCACTGAATACATTCAGGGTGCTTTCACAAGGACGGAGCCTTTCACAAGAGCTTTCAGCCGCATCCAACTTAAACCAATTCCCACCGCCTTGTAAGCCAAGAGTATACACAGGCTTAGCTCCAGGTTCTCGCATCTCCTGACAGTGGTCGGGAGTCACACAGACACACACTCGCACACATGGGAGGTATGTTGAAAGTATTCCTGCGTTTGATCCTTGGAGGTTGTGGTAGCTTTGAGAACATTCCTCTTCTCTCCCTCCAGTGTGTACCTATCCACCACCAGTCCTGAGCCTGGGGGCCAAGGAAGGGAACCCCTCACTGATCCCAGGGTGTGTTATGTTTTTTTGGGGAGAATGTGCTGTGTCTCAGGTCTGGTCTAGATCAGGTTGCTACCCCCCCAAGCCATGTGTTGCCTTTGGACTGAGCTTATGGGTTGCAGTTGAGGCCACATGTCCTCAGGACAGGTTTTGATGATGTTTCGTTTCACTTATCAGTCATGAACAAAGGAAAGATAACAAAAGAGGTCAGATGATCAATCCGTTTACTCTTCTTTTCCCCAGCACAGACATGACTGGCCGGTGTAATACATGATATAAGGTGATCAACATCCATATTGCTCACCATGCACACTGTGTCATGTGCAGTCTGTTATCGTAATACAGTGAGTTTGGCTTTGATAACTATCGAACGCAAATATCTGCTAATTCTGTGCCTCTGTGATGCAGTGGAAAACCTCCAAGCTTTGTGTTGCCACACTACACTTTGACAGATTTTCTTTATGATAGTAAAGTGCATGTCTTAGAGTTTTTAACAAAACAAGAAATATTGACACGATCTTAAGATTTAGAAAACTGGAATGGGAATTTTCGAATCGAAACAGCGTCTAAAGGTTTCAAGTTGTGACGAAAGGTTCACTGTGAAGAGCTTGATGGCTAATCTGATACCATAACCTTGTATTTACTGATAGTCTAGTGTAGCCATGTGCCGATTTCAAAACATTGTCTCTATGTATGATAATGTCTTAATAGCTGTTGCATTTTAAGTGGCAATAAAATTATAAAAATCTCTGAGACAAATTTGTAACTTCTGGGCTAAATAAGAAATGACCTCTCTGGAGGAGATCATTTTGAAAATTGTGTGTTATTCAAACCTTACTTGGTTACCATACAACTATGATTAGGCAGCAGCATAGTTATTAGGTTCCCCATCCTAGGGTACTGGATAATATTTTGTGACTATTATCTAAAGATAAACCTCTGACAGTGACAGTAGATTTAATTTCTGGAGACATCTTTCAGCTTATTGTATGCACATACACAACATGTCCTTTAAAGTTATATTTAAAAACACATTTGCAGATTTCTAATTCGTCGCAGCATTTCTTACTGCAAACACAAAAAACGTGACCCCGTATCATTCGCCAGCATGCGTTTCAAAGTAGTTAGACTTATTAAAAAAACAAGTGTTTTATTTGATGATTTGGTCTTGTGCTTGTAATCCCAAGGCTCTCGAGCTCAGATGCAGACACAGAACGAAGGAAAACAAGAGGCCTCAGCTGATTGTTTTTAGTGGGGCTTTCCAGGATCTCCCCGTCTCAGAACCGTGCTTTTAGTCTACGTTTATTTTCCTGACCCAGTCACTTTTCACAGTCCTTTTACGCTCACATTTGTTTCTCCCACATATACATTCTGCAAAGTTGTTTACCTAGAGTATTAGCTGGCCTCCCTGCTCCTTACCCAAACACCTCAGCAGGAAGCAACATGACCTCCCCTCCACTGGACCGGTGCCACTGCATTGTAATCATGAAACCTTAATGTAAGGCTACACTCGTGTAAAAACACAATGCGATTGAGATCAAGGACATTGGCTCACACTGTAAACAGATCACCAGGCCTCAAGCGCGCCTACTTTTGAGTAAAATAATCTTTCAGATGTGTTTGCAGAATTCTTTATTCTCACTTAAACGACACCTCTTACTTAACATGTTCATCACAAATAAGCACTCTGCTTAAACACAGGGCGAGGAGAGCTTGTGTGTTTCTCCACCTAGTTATTTATAGACATCTTAGTTGCTCTTTCTGTGTGTGTTTGTAATTGAAGGTGTGTGTCTTATTTTAATCAGGTGTTCCAGGACCTGGGTGTGTCGGTGCTGTCCGGAGCGTCTGAGGGCTACAACGTGTGTCTGTTTGCTTACGGCCAGACAGGATCTGGGAAGACGTACACCATGATGGGGACACCGGTGAGGAGCATGCTGCAATCACTGCATGCCATTAGACACATTTTTCATACCTTAGCTAATATCACAAGGCACGCTGGAGGCAATGCAACTACACAAAGTGTACACCAAAGAAAATACACAAATGTAAACACTGCTCAGAAAAGCATTTAGTTGTGACATGACAACTATCAAACAAACTACCTTTTTTGTGATTCCTGCAGGAGTCCATCGGCTTGACCCCTCGTATTTGTCAGGTACGGTTATAATTCATGCAGGCGATGACATGAATAAAGTGAGCACACTTATAATTCAACCCCTTGAGTATCAAGTGTTGAAGTAAATTGCGGTTTGTCTTTCCTTACAGGGTCTCTTTCGATCTGAAGACACTTTTCCTGATGCGCAGAACTCAAGCAGAGTGGAGATCAGGTACCGTGTTGTTGTGTGACTCTGATTTTCACCAATGTAATTATGTCTTTCCAGAAGGCAAGATTCAAATTAGACAAGTGTTTTTGGTAGAATTATGCTGAAAAACAGCAGCCAACAAAATGCAAATTAAAACTGACTTTCTTTTACCGCCATGTTCACATTTTCCTGATGTTAATTTGACAAAGGAGATATTATGCTCTCTGTGTTCTCCCTGCACTTGACTCACAGGGAAAAATGTCGTGTTTTTACAATTCAAAGATTATAATCTTCCTACCAAAGACTGTGTTTGCTTAGGCAAGTTGTCTGAAACACTGTCCAGGTAACCATGATTACAGAGAGACCGTTTCATTGCCACATGTTACGCATGTCGTTTGTATTTGTGTTCTGTCAGCTCTCCAGTAAAATCAAAACACCAGGAAAGTACTTTTTTTTTTTGAGATGCAGAAAATGCTTGCAGTGATTGAAATAAAACAACTCATAATGTTTGATGGGCCTGTAGCTAGACCTGTGGCGAGCGCCTCAGTCTTTGTATAGACGAAACAGACGTTACCTGATCCGTTCCTGACATTGCATTGATTTGTATATTCAAGACGTCCTCTCATCTTTCTGTCCCTCCAGCTTCTTGGAGATCTATAATGAGCGAGTAAGAGACCTGCTGCGGGGAGGAGAGCAGAAGAAGAGGGCTTCCCTGAGAGTCAGAGAGCATCCCGAGAAAGGACCGTATGTACAAGGTAAATACTTTGGTCACTAAAGTGTTAAACAGCAAAGACCTAATGTATAGTTGTCAGGGCTAAACTCAGTTTGAATTTGAAAGGCATGCTTGCGTTTCCCTTTCAGCGAAATCTGTACAGTAAAATGTTGATCCTTGACCGTTGCACCCTTGCTACTTCCATAAGTGTTGTTTTATCTATTATTTATTTTTGCGATCAAATGCGCCTACCTACACATAAAAAAAAACTCTGAAGTAGAGGAAGAAACCTGAATAGAAAAAGATCAAAAAGTTCCAATAAAATTCATGCCCTCCAGTTTTTACAGTGGAAGAGGCTGCAGTTTGAAAAACCAGACGAGCCACATCAGGAGCACGATCCTGTTTTGTTCACAATGCTTCGGTTCTTTGGCCACAACAACACAATTTGCTCGCTCGGTTTGGCTCCTTGTGACTTCTTCTTCTTCTTCCCCAAAACGAAATTCGATTGTCGCTGTTTTGACATAGTTGAGGAGATTTAGTGCTCGTAGCAGATGGTGCTTGACATGTTTGTATAATGGAACTTACAGGGACCGTCGGGAGACGTGTAGCACAGCGCAAGGAGACTCCTTTGAGGGAGATGCTGACCAGATTTAAATCTAGCAAGGTTTCTGATTTTATAAGCACAGCGTCTGAACTTATTGATTACCCCTCTTACAGACATTAAAAACTCAAAGCAAACACCGCTTAATCCTCACTAGGGTCGTGGGGGTGCTGGAGTCTATCCCAGCTGACTTAGTGTGAAGGCAGGGGACATCCTGGACCGGTCGCCAGTCTGTCACAGGGCTATACTTAGAGACAGACAACCAAGCACACTCACATTCACACCTACGGACAATTTAGAATCACCAATTAACCTCAACATGTTTCTGGACTGTGGGAGGAAGCCGGAGAACCTGGAGAGAACCCACGCTGCATGGGGAGAACATGCAAACTCCACGCAAAAAGATTCTGGGTGTCCTCACTGGGACGCGAACCGGCAACCTTCTTCTTGCGAGGCAACGATGCTGACCAACTGCGCCACCCTGCAGCCCGCAAGATAAACAGATTATGTTAAAGATGATAATGTTTAAATATGATCCATCTGTTCCAAGTGAAGGTGCACAAAATGATGATCTCAGAAATCAGGATTTTGCCCTTTTTGGCCATTGGTACTAGTTAATTACTCAAGTAGAAGTCTTTCCTTATTTAACTTACATTGTTGGACCAGTAAGTGCTTTTACAAGATACGAGTTTGTCCACTGACCATTAACACTTGAGTACGGTCAGCAGTGGATCATGAATCGTGAAGAGAAGTGTGGATTTGAAAGGCTACATTTTCCTTCTCTTCATCCTCATACACGTTTGTTGAAGTCGGACATGTAATTTGGCCCTCAGTATTTTGAGTGTGGCTCGTGCCTTGTAAGTTTAGTTTATAAGTCCGGTATGCGGTCAGTGGTGGAGTTTCGTTCCCTTGTTAAGCCCTTTGATCATTTCCAGAGTTGGACATCCTGGTTCTAATCCAGAACGCCTATTTTAGCTCTTCTTCTCTTACTTTTTCCCCCCCTCCTTCTCCCTCCATCTCCTCATCCTTTCCCTCTCTTTCTCCCCTCCCCGTCGTCCGCCCGGCTGTTTAAAGCCCCACATCCACTCATTGTCTGTATCAGGAGAAATCCCAGTTGACCAGAGGAAGTGAAGTCATTTCCTTGTGGTTCCAATGAGAACACTTCACCACACACACACACACAGACACACAGACACACAGACACACACACACACACACACACACAGACAGAGCACATTTAGGATTCCCAGGTTTTACTCCTTCTCTCTCCACACTTGTCCATTTGAACAATGTTTTGCTGTCACTCTTTTTGTTCTACAATAATTAAATTATGTTTTTATTGACCAGCTAACTGAAAACAAGAAAGCAGCCGCATGATAAAGCTTTTTTAGTAATATGTGTGCACGTGTTTAACAGCCATTGAAGCTGTTGTGATTCACGCCTGGAAGTAGCATTGTTAGACATTTTTGTTACAAGATGTTGTGGGAAAACATAACGAGTCACATGGGAGCAAGTATTGATGTGCCACGTTTCCTGTTTGTGTCTTTTCCACATTTCTGTGCCTCTGAACACTTTGATCCCTCTAATTAAAAAGCGTTTTAAGTTTAATTTACTTCAGTTAATCAAAGTTTATTCCTATAGCAGCCATACATAACTTTAACTTTAAAACGTAAATCAATATCATTCTTTTTTCTTTGAGTTTCATTCCTGTTAATGTTTTTAAAAGTTTTCGTAAAATGAGAATTCTTAGCTGTACAATGTGCAGTAGAACCTGGCCAACGCTCACTCGGTTTTGCACTCCAAGTCTCAAATTAATTGCTTTCCACTGTGGAAGTTGGGGCCATTAATAAACATTTTGAGGTTGTTGTACCATGTTGCCAAGTTTTTAGTTTGTTTTTTGCCAAGATTTCAAGATTTCAGCCTTTGGATTCTCTTTGTTTCTCTCTAATCAGACCTGTCTCAGCATGTGGTCTCAGACTGCAAACAGGCCATGGACCTTCTGGAGGAAGGCATCGCCAACCGCATCACCGCAGCAACACACAACCACGACGCCAGCAGCAGATCCCATGCCATCTTCACTATTCAGTACACACAGGTCGGTATCTCTTGCACAACTTGCATAAAGTCATCTGTTTTAGTTGTTTTACTTCTATTGTCATAAACTCTGTTTTCTAATGATCATCTCACTATTGTAATAATTGTTATTCTAATTTGCACATGATTCTTTGATGTTTTTCGTTTATGTAAAGAATTTATCATTTTTTCAGTGATTTCTGTGCAGTTTCTCATTTAATTATTCTTGCCTTTCGTCCACAGGCCATCCTAGAAAACAACCTTCCTTCAGAAACCGTCAGCAAGATTAACTTGGTGGACTTGGCTGGGAGGTGAAACAGTTTTGTCCTGCTTACAAGGGTTCTGGTTTTTGTAACTCTCTTTCGAGTAGAATTCATTGACTTAAGTGCCCCCTAGTGGATATTGAATACTGCCCTCAGATTTTCTGAATGCTCCATTTCATGCTTTTTATATTGTATTATCCACACCTTAAGCGATTTTTATTGTTATGATCTAAATTTAATTCTGTGTTCATGTGTCTGACAGTGAGAGAGCAGATCCCCACTACTGCAGGGACAGACTGACGGAGGGCTCCAACATCAACAAGTCGCTGGTTACTTTGGGTATTGTCATTTCTGCTCTTGGTAAGTTGAGAAACCCTTTAAATATTTAATTTCAAAGCTCAAGTGATCATGTCTAAGAAATCAGAATAAAATTATTATTTTGATTAAATTAACCTCGACAGATTTCCTTATTTTTCCATCCATATCTTCTCTATTCTTACTCCCTCCTGTTTATTTTACTTTCTCTCTAAATCCATCTTTTCACCACTGCTTTCACAGCTCAGAACTCCCAGATGTCAAGCAGCTGCCAGAGTATCAACAGTGTGGCCTCTGAGGGCGACGGCAGCACAGTGGGAAGCCACAGCAGCTCTCTGTCTGGGGGAGGAGGTGGAGGTGGGAGGAGGCACTGCTTCATCCCCTACAGAGACTCTGTCCTGACCTGGCTCCTGAAAGACAGTCTGGGAGGCAACTCCAAGACCATCATGATTGCAAGTGAGTATTGTCTATTTAAATTGACTCATTTTTCTTATATCCCTCAACTGAAAACTGAACTAATGCTGTTGTTCCTTTAGTCTCAATTATTAACTGGCTTTTTTTTAATTTCATGTGACGTGAGTGCTAACTGCTGTGTACGTGTATTTGTGTTGCAGCGGTCTCACCCTCCGCTAACAGCTACAACGAGACCCTGAGCACCCTGCGCTACGCGGCCCATGCCAGAAATATTGTCAACAAGCCTCGGGTTAATGAGGTTAGTGGCTGTTGAGAGGCCGATGCCAAGACTTAACGTTTGATCTAAATGTTTTCAGTAGGTTAATGTGCGCTTTGATTTCTGTGCAGGATGCCAGCGTTCGACTGATCAGGGAACTGAGAGAGGAGATTGACAGGCTGAAGAGCATGCTGCTCAGCTTTGAAATGGTATAGTGACCTTTTCTCAATAGAGCGTGGAGCTAACTCTCCCTGGGAATACACCCCGCTGGGTTTACGCAAAAAAAAAAAAAGCCTTCTTAGTACTGTAAGGCTTTGAATAAAAGAGATTCCCACATTACAAGTTTTTTGTACCCAAGCCTTAGTACAGTTCTTTTGTGTCTTCGTGACATTTCTAATCCCCAGGGCGGTAAAGACTGCATTGCATCATAATGTGTATGACATTTTCCCTTTGTACAATATATTGACTGATCATTTTTTACCCTCTTGATTGACAGCAACGTAATCCCAGTCCATCCCTGAGTGATGAGAGGGATGGAAATCTTTCTGAGATCGTGCTACAGAACGAACTAAAGGTAACACAGGGTCGACATGCGCACTTACTCCTCCTTACATCTGCCTCTCTGAGTGTTTGACATCGAGTCAGTGTGCTTTCATACTAGGTTGAGCGTTTTTCATCTGGTTGACATTCAGGGAAAATGTTACAGAAAATAAATCCAGATTATCATGTAACAAGCAGCGTCAATCTTTGATAGGCAAATTTATCATCACATATCTTGCCATCCAAACGTGGTCAACATCACAAGGTCTAGTCAAGCTCTGACATGAGGTTAGATAAGATACAAAGAGATCTGAACCTGTCTGCAGGCTTAGATACCAGCAGGGTTTGGAGGGAATGAACTGAGGCTTTTTATAGAGGTGGTGATACGAACACAGAGTCTATTCTGAGTCACTGGGATTTCTTTCTTTTTGACTGCGAAGACGAACCTGGAAAATGTACTGGTGTATTTAATAAACTCAGTATTATGCATCATCCTGTTTTAGTTGTAGCAGCAGCAAATAAAGCAGATGTCTACATTTTCTCCCTAAAAAATGATATTTGGATTATCTCGTTTCACCCCCATGACTTTCCTCTGCCTTCATCCACTTTTCTTTCACAGGTAGAGCAGTTGACCAAGGACTGGTCGGAGAGCTGGAGGGACAAAAAGGAGCTGCTGGAGCAGTACAGTGTGGACATCAACAGAGATCGGGCCGGTTTCCTCATCAGCTCCCTCCAACCTCACCTGGTTGCCCTTGATGGAGATGTTCTCAGCACTGGAGTCGTCTTTTACCACCTCAGGGTACGACAATAAAACTCCATAAAAATCCATGTGCAGTAACGATAGGGATTTGTCTTTTTGTCATTTATGTGGGATTAGGGTTGTTCTATTGTAAATAATCAAATGTTGGATGTTAGAATGACTAGCTTATGTGCTGAAGTCTAAATCAGTATAAAATATCAGTTGTATGAGATGGTTTATTTCCATTCTGTCTCTCCACCCACACCTGCTTCTACATTAAAAATACTCCTTTACGTACACAACAGGATGCAACGTCTCACAAACTAATATGCTCTACATTTGCTCTACTTTTCTGAAATCTCAAGTTACTGTTCTTGTCAGCTGTCTTGACTAAAACTGTCTCTGTTTTTCGGCTAGATCCTCCCCCTCCTCTTACTCTCATTTCACTCTGTTCTGCTACAAAAACTCTTGAGAAAAGGTGCGTTTCTGTTGTCTTTTTTTTTCCCTTTGCACTCCATCTTCCAACTGTCCTGTCAATTTCCCTTATGTGTAAGTGTGTGTGTGTGTGTGTGTGTGTGTGTATTCTGCAATGCATAAAGCTAGGTTGGATAAGAGGCTCTTAGTTCTGAGGCTAGGACTCAGGGGAGCTTAAGCTGTCCTGATTCTGACAATGACAAGCATACCCTTAGGCCTGACAATTACACTGTTTCCTGCATGTGAAGAGCTGAGGCCACCTGGGAGCACATGTGGTCCTGACACCATATAAGAAAGCCTTTAATTCCCACTGGATAAAGCTGTAAAGTAAACAAATTATTATTTATTTATTTATTTTCCAGGTAAGTGGAAGATTAGAAACAGCATCAGTCCTTGATGATCATTGTGTATAATTTGGTCATGATACCCGCTTGTGTTTTGAGCACAACCAGCTTAATGTCCAGTCTGCATAAGGGCTTCAATGTTTTTGTTTGTGTGGAGTTTTATTTAGCAGAGTTGCCATGTTTACAGCATGTTTTTTTTTTTGTTACAGGAAGGAGTCACTTGCGTCGGACCTCAGAGCCAATTTAAAGAACCACAAATAGGTATTAGTTGTTTATTTAATTTCTGATTACTCATCCAGTTCTTAATAATAATTCCCAAGCTATGCAATGAGATTTTTCCTCAGCTTTTGTGCACTGCAAGATACTAGATACATAAATTATACCATATATAAAGGTAGAGCAACAACTGTCATCAAGTTTGCTAAGTAGGTTATCACACACAAAATGTAGAGCACGTTACAGCTACGGCATGAGAATGTATAGCACGCTCTTAAATGGGCCGTTACCTTTTCCTTAAACACTGCATGGAGCACTGAATATGTTGAGCAGTACAGTAGCCGCATCAGCACAGCTTTCTAAATCAAAATGTGTGATTGTATCTCCTCATTCTGTCTGTAGTCCTGCAGGGCAGCGCCAGCTGTGAGATTGAAAACCACGGGGGTGTGGTAACGCTCAGACCGCTGCCTGGCTGCGTCTGCCTGCTCAACGACAGAGAGGTCACCGAGCCCTGCAGACTGGCCCAAGGTCAGTTCATGTCCTCGGCAAAACAGTTTGTTCGCGCTGTCTTGCTCCCACTGGATATGTCTCTCTGCATGTGACACAGACTGGATACAGAATTTTACGTCTAATCTGAGCAATGCACGTACATTTCACTCTTAAAATATTTTTTTATGCTAATATCCTGAGACAGTTGTTACCGGCAATGCAAAGAACGGTAACTTATGATGCATTCAGTGACTGTAGCAGAATAAATGCCAGCTATGAAAAAAGAATTCTAAGTTCAACTTCAGCTATAGTCAAAGGAACATACTGTATGCAGTTTGTGTTTCAAATAAGCAGGAGAAAGATGTTTTGTTTTCATACCTGCTGTTGGAAATGACATTCAGTCAAACAGAAAATCAGACATGAGCAGCACTTGACTATGAGCATCAAGGCCTGGGTGTAATAATGGCTGTGAGCTGGATACCAGATATAGGTCACCGTACAGTTCCATATGCACACATACATACAGAGAGATTCAGTTTCAGATATAGGTTAATGTACAACTATATATAGATGACACTTAAAGATGCCAAGATACAAACGTAGACACGCACTCACATACACACACCAATGTTTCACTCATGAAGCACAGCACACACACACACACACACACACACACACACACACACACACACACAGAGACCGGTGCCCTCAGCTTCAATGCTACGGGTTGAACACAGCTTGTGATGAAGGATATGTCTCTTTATCTCCAGGGACAGTGATTACCTTGGGAGGAGTGCATAAGTTCCGCTTCAACCACCCGGCAGAGGCAGCTGTCCTTCGGGAGCGCAGACGGGTAGGTGCTGCTCTCCTGAAAATGAGCGCGATGCTGTTGATTAAGATGCCAATCATGATAAAAATTTATGATGACGGCTAATGCAGTTTAATGTTAATCACACACACTTGTTTCTGATGATTTCTGTCTATTCTGAGAAAAGCAGGGGTAAATGGGTTTTTTTTTTTTTTTTAATTTAATCTTAAATTTGATTATTTTTTTGTTTGTTTTTATTGCTCTTCTCAGGCCAGTGAAGGAGTCATGACCTGTACCTACACTGAACTTTGCCCCTTGACCCCTGGCGACAGGTAAATGCCCCCAAACAATTACACAGAACAAAACCTTTTTCTTTATTTAGGGCAATAATCATCCCTCTGTGTGTATATGTGTGGTGTACTGAGTGATCTTATTCTGTCAACACACGGCATACATACTTGATAAGAGATAAGTGTCATACCAGTGTTCACGCTGTAGAAATAGGGCAATGCTTCGCTCGTGTTTTCTTCCAGTTGGTGGAGATTGTATGTGCTGCCATTACCCCCACCTTTGTGAACGATCCCAGTTAGCTGTTTACAGTTCAGGCTCAAAGGAGTTGCTTAGATACTGCTGAGACGCTGAAGTCAACAGTAGCTGTATTTAAAACCTGCCACCAAACTGTAAAATTCTAGACATCAGCTTATACCTAGGTGGGTAAAAATGATTGCTTTAGTCTTCATGACTGCCTTTTTTTCTCTTGTTTCATCATTGTTTCTCAGTCTGTCTTTCATCCTGGATCATTTGCCTTCTTTTTTTTTTTGTAGTGTCGAAGAAGCGAAGCTCCCACAGCAGCAGGGTGCCTGTCTCCCTCCCAGTGAGGAGCCTTCTGCCAGGCAGCGTGTGGAGGAGCAGAAGCGCTACGTGGAGAATTTGCGACAGGAGATTCAGGCTGAACAGAGGAAGGCAGAAAGGGAGCTGGAAAGGGAGCAGGCCCACCTTCGACAGCAGCACACTGAGAGTCAGTACTCTGTTCGCACGCTCACACTGACAGCATGTTTCTACTCATGGAGATATCAGTCAGATTTCAGAATCCTAGCTCAAATTCTAAATGATTTAAAAGTGAAATAGATAACCACAGAAAATTCATTGTACTCTAAAATTTAATGTCCTTTTGTGAATCTTTACCCAACAGTCCAGCAGTGGATTTTACAGGAGAAACATCGCCTGACGACCGTAGAGCATAAAATCACCCAGGAGTCTGGAGTTCAGGCAGACCTCCTCCCTGCGCCCCTCCTGGAGAGGCTAACAAGTGAGGTGTCCAGGGATCAGGAAGATCCTACAGTGCATTGCCCTTCCCAGGTGGTGAGGGCCAGGAAGAAGGCAGTGCAGGATGAGCTGCTAAAGCATCACGCCCTCTGTCGTGCCGAGAGCCGCATCCGTAGGAAAAGACTGCACTACCAGCTGGAGAGAATCGCCAGCAAGCGGCGTTTATTGGAAGCAAAGAGGGATTTACAGCAGCTGGAAAAGGCCCTGCCAGCAGGACCGGACAGCCCAGAGTCTCCTGAGCTGGGATCGCCAACAAAGCTCAGAGGGCGACCGCTTGTTTCTCGCAGACATTCATTTTCGGCAGACCTTTTGTCCCGGCTGTACCCACAGCACACACCTATATACAGGTAAGTTCCTGGAGTTATTCAACCTGTAGAATCAATTGTATTTGCAGACTAAACAACCATGCACACTCCAGCATTTTTCAGCACTTTTTTTGTGTGGTTTGTAGCTCCTATATATACTTTATTCAAATCTTAGAGTGTTTCTCTTTCTCCCCTCAGGCACTTCCTCAAGAGAAACAGATCCACAGAGCTGACTTTAAATTCATCGACAGCGTCTGATTCCATTGGCAGCAGGAAGTGGGTTTCAGATGAGTGTCTTCCTCGGCAAAGGACCCAAAGTTGCTCTGGCTCCATCTTCTCAGGAAGAAGCCAGTCCTGTCAGAAGAGAGTAAGCTCCTCTGAAAACATCAGGCAAACCGCCAAAGAGGAACCACAAACTCAGCCGTGTAGGGAACGGCCAGAAAGGAAACCCCTGCTGCCAAACCGAGACCTGTCCTTTAAGAACAGATCGGACCAGAACTCAGCTGTTACACTGAAGTCGCCACTTGGAACTAGTTTGCTGCCTGTAAGCAAAGAAAATATACAAGGATCTACAGCAGACAAACCCGCTTTTCAGAAGGCCCCTTTTATGAATGGGAAAACCTCATACGATGCAGATAAAAGCAGACTAGAAACCATCAGCAAGTCTTTATCTCGTTCTGTGGGACCCAGGATAAAAACAGCTCTGTCCAAAGTGTTCAGAAAACCACCTACAGGTGTAAATGGAGGACGAGTCCCAAAACCACTATGCAGGATAGCAAGTAAATTTTACTGGAGACAAAGAAGAGACAAGAGCCTTAAAGATACCAAAATGAGTCAAAGCAAATGTGCCATTAAAACTGCTGTATCATGTGAGGAGCTTGACCAAAGGACTCTGTCTAAGAGTGTCAGACAGAGGCGGTGGCATAGCACCGAGGCTCTGATGAACCGGACCAGCAGGTGGATAGACAGGCAGCAAGAGTTGGCTGGATGGGAGGAAGAGCAAGAAAACAGGGATGAAGGTACATCAGACTGTGAGAGCCTTTTCTCTCTTGATTCTCTATCGTCTGCTTATGCGACAGCTCTAGCAGAGCAGCTGAGGCGTGAGGATACAGGTCAGAGTGAAGCAGAAAGCGAAGACAGTCAAATGTCTAAAGATTCATTGACTATGGAGAGCAGTGGGAAATTCTCAACAGTGCGGAGACTGAAACAAGCAGTGGTACCGTCCTACTCACTGGTGACAGATTCTGCCCATCCATCCATGCAGCACAAGAGGACAGCAGAGACCAGTTTAGATGAGGACCACTGCCAGAAACCTCTGGCGATCCCAACAGAGGCATATTGGAGCCAGCCAGGGTCCCCAAAGACAAGAGAAACTGATACAACAAGGAAGCCTCTTTCTCAAAGCTCATTAATTGCAGATTCCAGAGGTAAAGACACTGTTCATAAATTGACTGAGGAGTTTGGGAACATGCAAACCACTTCCACCAGCAGCCCACGCTCTCTAAGCAGCTGCAGTGTGATGGAGCCAGAAAATGTTCTGGTGCTCACTGATGCCTGGTCCTCCACAGATGCAGCAGACAGTCCCAGGATTCACAGGGAATCTCTACCATGCCAAAGAAAGATGATGTTCAGACATGCAGAGAGCAGCAGCAGCAGCAGCAGCAGTAGAAGCAGTCCCAGTCCGACAAGTATGAATCTGTCGGACTCACAGAGTGGATCTAGAAGCTACAGTTCGACATCCACCAGCACTGAGGGTGTACATGTAACAGCGCTGGACCACAGACTTGAGGCTTCAAAGGACTGTGTAAATACACTAGAAGATCCCATGATGTCAGGTATTCAGAAGGATGTAGGACAGTATGTAGAACAGTTAAAACAATCCAAAGAAGTGAGAAAAACTGTCACGGATACTCCAGACCACAACTCCAATGAGCATCCAGCTTCTTTGCCCACCTCAGATCAAAATGCATCTGTCTCACAAACTAAGATTCCCCAAACCACTCAAGCACCTTCAAATTTGCTTCAGGTATTTGCAGATACACCTAACAAGGTGGCTGCTGACATTACAATGTCCTCCGACACTAAATTGGGCACCTCAGGACATCAATCGATAATGCATTTCTCTACAAATTCTACTATCCAAGGTCAAGCAGTGAATGAGATGCCCGGTGCTGCGAGTCCCTTCAAATCTTCAGCTGAAACAGAAGTACTATGCAATCTATCTGGTGCAGCAGCAAAGTTGAGAGACGTACAGCAGTGTCATTTTAGGAATACGGAAGATGCGTCATTTACAAGAGATGAAACCAAAGGCACTGACGAGTCCATTGCACTACAGCAGGAAACTGTTAAATCGGCTTGTAAAAATTCCAGGAAAAGGAACAAAGACCAACAGGATGCTTTTATGGGCAGCCTGAAAATTCCAAAAAGGAGCAACAGCGGGGAGTTGGCAACTTTCTGCTGTATGACAGGAGAAAGCCAGGAAGATATTAGGCCTGATGACAATAATAACACCGACGACTCCAAAGGGGAACAATCTGCCGTAGAAACTGACAGCCCTGAATTTGATTCTGGTTGTTTTGGTGGCAGCGTCAGACAAGATACGGTGTCTTCAGTTGCATCGCCAGTGTCTGATCTCACGAGCCAGAAACTTAAACCAAGTTGTCAGATATTTGAGGACACGGAGTCTGGGCTTAAACGTGGTGACAGAAATTCACAGAGGGATGCGTCTATGGGAGGTAATCCGGTAGTTGGAAAGGCAACAATAAAGGCAGTACCTGCAGAAACTATAGGGGGAGAGTACCAGATTGATAACTATGAAAAACATCAAGAAAGCAGAAAACACATGTGCAAGTCAGATGCCATTTGTAGCGCTATTGATCTGAGAATCTCAGAAGTGGTGAAAGAGCACATGAAATTGTCACTGATTGGCAGTGATGATGCCAGGAAGAGCAAGAGTCGAAGTCTGAATGCCTTGTCATCATCTGCATGTTATCTCAGCTGTAGCAGTGATGAAGATAGATGGACGGAAAAACGTCTGAGAGATGAAAGTGGTCATCAAGCGAAAGAAGGAACAAACCTGAGTGAACATCCTTGCGTTGAAAGAGCGATACGCACAAATACAGTGGAACACGTGGCATCAAATGTCGAAGCTGAATTAAAGTCAAACAATGAGAGCAGAGTGCTTAAATATTCTGAAGTAACACAAAAGACTGACAACGCCCATAACTTTTCTGATGAAACATCAAACAAGCCAGTATTCAATCCTTGTGTTTTCCAAAACTCATCTGCTGAAAAAGCAAACTTGCAATCCATTCTGAGTCTGAACAGCCAAGGAGGGTGTGAGCAGTCTGGAAGTTCCACAATTAGTTTGTCCGTGGTGAGTGATGCCTTTTCAGCAAGAAAATGTATTGATTATCACAGAATCACTGTGGAGACAAATGCTTTATCTCAAGAAATGACTGATGAAGGTAAACACAAAATAGAATCTCATCTGAATCTGGCAATCGATGATAAATGCTCCAAAAAAGTGGACAGCCAGACCTGCTCAGATGCCTCTGTTTTAAATGCTGACCCCATCTCTGAACCCCTGGCTCAGCACCCAAGCCCACAACCTTACCAAATCCCCCACGAAACACTTTCCACCACTGGTCCCACAAAATTGAAATGTGACTGCACTGTTGTTGAGGATGTCAGTATGGAAGCCTCATCTTGTGTTGAAAATATAGACGATCATTCATCCAAACAGAACTCACCAAAGATGGCTGGACATCTTTTCCAAAACAGCCCTGAAACAGCTGGAGCCATTAAGTTATTAGTCGATGGAGGATTACATCAATTCAAACCAGACAAATATCACAACAACAAAAACATGGTTCCTTCTGGCCGCATTAAAAAAGAGGAAACAGATGCGAAAACAGGTGGCAACCCTTCCAACACAGCACCAGATCAGTCCTGTCGACAAACTCCTTCAGATAACTCGGCTCAGACTTGTGTGGTCAACTTGAATTACAAAAACAAATGCCCAAAACTGTCAAATTCACAGTGCAAATTTGATAAAGGTACTCAAATCGACTGCAAAGGAGATCATGTAATGAAAAGCGACAAAGAGACTTGGACACATCAGGTTGTGCAGCAGCATCCACCTATTTCAACAGAGTCAAAAAGTATCTCTTCTTCTGTTCAAGAACACAAGATACCACAGGAAAATGGCATCAGAAACACAAGCAGCATTGGATCTGTAATGTCCAAACAGGCCAAGGTGAGCACGACAGGTGATGCACTGTGTAACTCTGTTGTTATGCCTAAAAAAGCCAAGACAAAGAGGTTCAGAAAGTCTAACATCAAGACTCATCCCACTTCTTCCTCTGACTCCTCTCTGAAGTCATCAGATGAGGATGAGGAGGATAACAGAGCGGCTAGAATGCATCCCAGCCGGCTGACATCTAAATGGGTTAAGCTGGGCACTCAGAACAATGCCAAACAAAGATGTAACGATGCAGATACTTCAGTGTCAGTCAGCAAATCTAAAATGAAGATTTCTCCTAATGGGAATTCTGTTAAAAGCGAGGTTAAATGTAGCAAAGATTACACCCAAAAAAGGCGCTCTTTACCTCCTCAAGCAGTGTCACAGAAGACAAATGTAGAGAAAATGAGCCCGTACGCAAAGAGACACGACCCACAACATGCATCAAAGTCTCAGGACTCCCCGATTCATTTTGCATCCAGTGACATAAACCCTTTCGTTCACCAGTGGCAAGACGACGACTCAAACCAACACTGCTATAAGAACCCGACATTCGGAAGCGCCGCTGACCTCTCCTGTAAATCTCCGCTTTTAAACAGCTCTGAAAAACGTATAACACGGTGCTGCAGTGTTGATAATGGATTGAATGGGCAGAACTCCCCTTTTAATTCCCACCTCAGCACATACGCCACCAACAAGGGGCTGTCCAGTACGCTCAGCAGCATTGAAGACTATAAAGAACAAGCGACCAAAACATCTCAGCTTAGTCAACAGACATCTGTGGATATTCGCAGTCGCCTCGCTAATCTGACAGTGAACAGCAGTTCTTCAAGCAGCAGTGTTCCTGGTTTTGGTAACAACTCCAGTCAGGTGGATGAAATCATGTTTGTTTACTCCTCTGAGCAAGAGTCCCAGGCGAGTAGTACACAGGCACAAAGGAGAAAAACATGTGAGCACAGTACTCAGACTGAGAGTGGGCTTCAGACGGTCAATAACGCTAACAACAGTGGTTCTCTGAAGAGGAAAGATCGCCACAAAAGGAGCTACACAGATGTACCTGCGTCACAGAAGACCAAAGTGGATATTAAAGAATCTCCAACGTGGGCCAGTATGGAAACCATGTCAGCTCATCTCTCCAAGCTGATCGACAGCACCTCGGACCTGCTGGGGGATGTTCAGGGAATGAGGACAGGTGAAGCCCGCAAGTCCACTTCAAGGAAGAACTTGTCAGATGTTGGCATCTCTTACAGCGAGTCTAAAGACTGCATCAAGAGAGACTGTTCCACTCAAACAGCCGCAGATGTTGCGATCCAGACTGAAAGGCTTTTAGCAGAGAAGGAAGCTGGTGTTTGTCAAACACCCAGAGAAACCTCAAAATCTCATGAAGTCAACGTGATAGTCAAAGTCATTGGTTCTGAGGTCGTCAGTGTCTCCCAAGACAAGAATATGCACTGTGTGGTGAGAACTAAAGCCAACACAGATGAAAAGATGAAAAGTATGCCTGACCTGAGGTTTAGCACCTCGGCTGCCTCCTCGCAGTCAGAGAATGACCCTCTCAAAACACCTCATGTAAAAACTGCGGCTGACTGTCAAAGACGTGTAAGATCTGCTTCATCTCGAGTGTCAAAGCAAAGCACATGTGAAGATCTACCTGAAATCACCCGTAGGCCATCGAAGAACTGCTGCCAGGAAAATCACAGCTCTTCCAAAACAAAAAACACAAGTGCTTTTATAAAGAAACAGGCTACCTACACAGACCGTGCGTCATCTCCTATTCTTACTGTTGGAACCAGGTTACGTATGAGGCACAAAGGAAAACAATCAACACCAGTGTGTCCTCCAAAATGTAAGGATCGAAAAACAATCAGTCCTTCTGAGGAAGACAGCCTCACTAGTCCTTCTGTTTCGAATGACAATCAACTGACCACCCAGGATGGTGATGTTTCCTCGAGTAAATCAGAATCTGTGTCGCTTGAGAAGGTGAGTGAAATGAGTGGCTCAAGTCCCAAAGGATCGGATCAGTGCCCTTCAAGCCTTACTTCATCACTGGATAGATATACAGACACTGACAGGGAAAGAGTTAACTATACAGACAAGGGCAGCCACCATCCCAGTTCCAAATGGCAGATGACCTCCCCACCATGGAGGACAAACAGTTTAATTTTGCAGAACCACACTTCTCCCATGTTAAAACTGCAAGCATCAGCTTTCCCAAGACCTGCAGTAGATTCTGGGGGTTTTTGCTTCGATTCCTACAATCCATCCCCGCTCAGCAACACGACTGATCGGCTTCAGGAGGATGACATGGTGTCACTGGCACCCAGTGAATGCAACACCGATGTCCTCGTCAACACCGAACCTGTCACCAGCGTGTTTCCTTGTGAAGACCCTCAGAGAGTCCCAGAGGACCTGCCCATGCACAATAAGTTCACCAACTGGTCGGGCGTCAATCGTCAACAATCAAAATGCTCAAACAAAGTGACCACGTTTCTTAACAACGACCACTGCAGGAGCAGAAACTGTGCCGAATGGAGTGAGATGGAGAGTTTCGGTTCTAATGTGGAGTCTGTGGCACCAACAGACAGAAGGGCGAGAGAGATAGTGAAGCTGCGACAGGAGAGAGAGCAGGTGATGGCATCAGTCAGCCTCAACATGAACCCGACACCTCTGACTGTGGAGCTGACAGAAGCCAAGCTACATTATGGTCTGGGAGAGACGGATGCACTGTTGAAGATGCTGTCCCCGAGGTCCAAAGAAGGGCAGGAACCATCGGCCTCTGCTCCCACGAAGCAGCAGCTGTATGATCGGTAAGGGCTATGGATGCAATTTTTCAACAGTATTCTAAACCAATAGCCAACCGCAGTGGCAATTATAAATTGCTTAAGCATTAAAATGAATGAACGAAGTACAATCCATATGCTGATAAAATCCTTTTTAACCACACGCACTTATTGTTTGCTGCAAAGTCGGCTTGATTACATCAGGAGTTTGAAGAACAGATGAAGTAAACACTATGTTACATGAATTATGACTTCATTTAAAATTGCTAGTCAGTGATTGGTCTGACAAAATCTAAAGTTTTACACACAGCAACAAGCTGTAGTCTCCCATAGTAAATATCACACAACATTATTAATCTCTTCACTGAAATCAGTTATCCTCATCCATGATTTATGTGATGGAGTGACATGTTTACTGTCATTAACATTAGTCCAGCTGCTGGATACTCAGCTGGAACAGATGCACACTAATACTGTCACAGCGAGTTTATCATTCCAGGAAATCTGGCAATATTTACTACTGCCTCGAAAATGTATTTATACTTATAACAGAGCTTTGTAATGAATGTTATCCGGGTTGGCAGCTACAAATGCCCTCTACTGACAGACACTCTGCTCCTGGCTTGTGTTAGCGTAAAAAAAATCCTAGCTTAGCGACAGCTGAACTGCAGGTAGCTAGCTAAACCAGACATCCGCCAGGCACTTTTTTCACAACTATATGCTGCACAGGACTGCTAAAGTTAGCAGTTACAAAGAAGGGAGGTGCCCTTTAAGGCTGTCTACAAACACACCTGTAACTCCATCTCAATAAACACCAAGAGGCTCCATCTGGTGATGAAACCAAGTACTACACCAAATCTATAATACAGTTTCCGACATGCGTCTTTTATTTTCTGCCCTATTAGTAGATGTAGTTTTAATCTGTGAAATTATGAATGGCATTTATAAAATGAACTTGTCATCATTAACGTCACTAGTCAGGGTACAATTGACCCAAATGTGCTTTATTTTGACATAATGGAATTGTCTTAAGGTGTTGATGAAATTGCCCAGTATTACGCAAAACACGGCCATAAACATGTTTAGTATAACTATGTGCCACTGTTTTTCTGAATTCTGCAGGTAGTTAGCTTATCCAAACATATAAAATGGAAATTCTTCCCCAAATTCATATCAGGAAAAATGCCTGAATAAAGAATAATTAAGCAAGACTAAAAATCTGACTCTCAAAACACTCTAGCAGCCTGCCAGCTAGTGATAAGGTATTGAGGTGCCATTTAATCAGCCACAAGTCTCCTCTTTGACTTCACTGTTACTAAATGAAATTTTTGTCATCTTCTCAGGCACCGCAGGAGCATTGAAGGCTTGAGGCAGGAGAGGGAGGAGCGCCTCCAGACTTGTCGGAGAGCTCGTAGTCTGAGTCCTAGCAAACACCCTCGCTGCTCTCCTCAAGAGGCTGTTTCCTCCTCCAAGGTGGCTGCTGCAACGCCAAGTCGGCGCAAAGAGTACCTCCAACGGCTCCGCCAAGAGGTGGTAGACAGCTCCAGGTACGACACGAGGTTTCACTTCATCAAAGAAGCCCTTGAATCTTAGGAGAATCTTTTAGAAATGTATTTAATTAAATATGACGGCAGTTTGGTTATTTATTCATTGGTAGGGCACAGTTTTTACTAAATTATCTGAACCACAGAGTGCCAGACCCTCCGAGAGGAGAAGGGCAGTGTCCGTCTGACATTGAGCAGCTGTTGCGTGACTACAGCCGAGCCCGGGAAGAAGCCAGGACGGAGATTGCAAAAGCCCGAGAGCGACTGCGGGAGAGGACGGAGCTGGAGAAGAGACGGCTTCAGCAGCAGGCCCTGTCTCAGGAATTCAAGGTCAGCGTGTCATTGCAGAATCATAATTAATTTCTTCCAAATGTCACAGAGCAAATATGACGATTTGGTTCAGGCCTCTGTCAGAGAGAGCAATTAAAGATCCCCTCCAGTTATGTTCAAAGATGTATAAAATATGCTGCTTTGAATAATAATGTGCGTCTGATATGTTTTTTTGTCTGTCAAACAGTCCAATTACTTTGTTAGAAGGTGTTAAAATGACATTAAAAGAATATTTCATTTTCAAAGTTCAAATTGGATACAAGTCCAATTCTCTGTCCAGTCAAGTCTATTCTCCGTGTATGTGCAGTGCAAGGTTAAAGCCTTCACATCGTACTTGCATAAGCTGCCTATTGGACACAGACTGGCTTCTAAACTAGTTGTGATGTTACTAATCTTCCTCGCAAACTTTAAACTCAGATTTTAGATGTTCACAGAGAAACTTTCCTGTTTTACTTATTAATTTAAAAACAGCCTTCGAGTGTTGAACTCTGGACTTTGTTTATGCATGTCTGTGCTTTCTGAAAGGAAAATCTGGATTTCTTTTACATTTTTTATGAATAAAGTTTTTTAGGGATCTGTTTTTCTTATCCAAATAGATGATGCATGATTAGAGTGGTTTGGTGTGCCATACAGATTTTAGAGTTCTTTAAAGTGAATGTGGAAGTGAATGGAAGATTTTGACCGATATAAATACAGCTAACCTGAGTTTGGACGGCTTATGTTGAGCAGGATGACTTGAGGCATCGGACGAGGACCAGCAGCAGCACTTTGTGCACAGGATCCAGTCTGAGTCTGTCCTCTGGACCAACATCGGGGTACAACAGTGGCAACACCACTCAGCTACAACACGGCAACAGATCAATTTTAACCGGACAGGTTAGTACAACAGTTGCTCCTGTTACAGTACATATTTGAAATTTCTAAAATCTAAGGTTAATACTACGGATGACTTTTACACTTTAAATGCTCAAATTTACATATCCGTTGTATTTTTTGTTTTTGAGTGAGCATCACATCGACTCGTTGTGTCTTTGTTCAGATCACATCGTTGCAAGATGAAGGGCTCAAGGTCAGGACACGGCCTCCTATATGTGGTCCTCAGAGTGTGAAGACACAGAGAGGCTGGCTGTCTGCCCAGGGTAATGGCACAACAGTGACTCACAAACCTCACACAGACCTGGACAAAACAATCCTAGAATATGTTCAAATCCCTCGACAGTAAGATCTGTGCTACAGAACTGAAATGCCTATGAGTGGGACTATAGCAGATATATTGTTGTCTTCTTTGGCATTGTTTTAATTACTGAAATATAAATTACTAGATTAGTATTTTTTTGCCCTGGTCTGTCACACTGTCACTGTCCTCCTCTGCGTTTTCTTCTTACATTCTCCTTTTCCTTGCACATTCTCTGTATCCAAATTGAATATTAATAACGACGTATTTTACCAGATGTCCGCCTTGACCTGCCTGTCAGCGGGTTTGAGCCACTCATGACTTCATCTCCATCACCTACAACTTGTGCCCGTCAACGCACCGCCTCCTTCGGCTCCTCCTCTTCCATCTCCACAACCTACCAGGACATCACTTCCAGTCTCCTTGGTCGTGCTCTGGCTGAGGTAATACACGCTTAAATTTATTTAAAGGAAACCTGTTTAGTGAGAGACAAACTAATCAAGATTACTCACTATATGTGTATTCAGTAAAGGGTCCACATAGTAGTTAACTGTATATTCTAACACTTTCATCTCCTTTTAATCTACACTTTCAGATATATATTTTGGCTTGAGTTTGACGCTCTTTCTCAACAGGTGCGACTTGCTTCTTCTGGGGATTTGGGCAACCTGGTGATGGGAAAAGCCACAGCAGGCTGGAGGTGAGTTCGGTCATTTCCCATTGCTGAACTTATCCAGAAGCTACCGACCCTTGAGACAATCCCTAACCTGTTTCTTCTTCTAGGATTTTCTCACTGTCTGTCAAGATAATCCTGAGCAGCTACAGATTTAAAGATTCACTTTACAAATATCATTTATGTGCTAATGTATAAAGTCTGTGTTTATTTAGGTACCAAGGAGAAGAAAGAGGAATTCAGGCGTACTACAAGCCCTCCACCAGCCCGTCTGTCCACGGTTTCCTGGGGGTTGGGGAGCTGAACAGACCCCTGGACAGCCTGTGGAGCGTGATCTGTCAGCTGTCCAAGAGCCACTTGTACAATCAGTCCGTCCGTTCTGTTTGGACACGACCACTAGATGACAGCACTCAGCTGGGTGAGCAAACATCCCAACCCAGCCTATATCTTCATACAGTTTCTATACTTTTAAAATGACAGTAATTTAATCGAAAACGCAACTCAAACTGAACTTTACAAATCTGAGGTTTATGCACATGAGCATTTCCATTTCTTGCCACTTAGTGCTTCTTTTCTGTTCAAATTCAAAGGATATTCCATCCTCCTTTATCTGACATATTGTTGCTTGCTGCTCTATGAATAAATATCCTTTATGCAAAATAAATGATTTATGTTTTATAAGACATTTCAGATTTATTTTATAAGGTCATCACTCATAAAAGAAAGTAGCAACGTATGAAAAACTGATGAATGATGTTTATATACGATGAACTTACACAAGAGCCAGCGCAGCAAAAAATATTGTATTTTTGCTAAAATTCAAATATAAACAAATATTTTATTTTTGTCTTGGCAGCAAAGCTATTTATATTTTTGCAAGGCATTTAACACACCCTGCAAATTCACTTGAAATGATGCATCTGCGTCCATTAACTATCTGTAGTACAGTACAGTACAGTCTCATTCATCACTGCCACGTTTGTTGTATTGCATGGCCAACTCCGTTCTCACACCTGCAGTATGTTTGCATTTAATACCTGCAGTATACCATTAGGCCTGTCTTACTTCATCTTATCTGTTCAGTTTAAACTTTTACCAAAGTTTTATTTTGTTTGCTTGTTTGTTTCCACGCAGCAGTGCAGAGTTTATTACATAAAATATCATCACATCTTATCATAAATATGTGTTGAAATAAGGAGGTTGTGTTTTTCCAGCCTTGTTAACCATCGATGTTCTGTCACATTGCCTCAGCAGTTGTATTTTCAGGGTTTTGGCTGCTGTATTGGACTAATTCGATGCATCTCCGTATTTGTGTTTAGTTTACATTCTAACAGATCCGTCCACCTGTCACCTCAGCCAGCCGCGGGATTTCTGCTGCATCAGCACTGAGTCCAAACAGGTAAGCACAGCTGCAAAGTCAGCCAGCCGGTCCAGTAATTACCGCCGGTCCCTCCTGTATAAGGTCCAGAGCGCATTTGCATGCTTTAGTTTAGCTGCGAAAATTCCATTTACTCATATTAATGTGGCATGCAAACAGCAATTTAGCAGCGTGGCGCGGAGTTTCTCATCCACAAAATGTAGAACATGTTATTTAGATACTAGGCATGCTCATAGAACACCGAGGGTAAACAAGAGTGACCCAGAGGCAGTGGGTGTGGAGTAAACCGTGTCAGCTGTTGGTTATCAGTGTCGGCGTACAGTTGCCTCTTGGCTGATCAAAAGGCTGCGCTGCCTGTTTTATTGATGGTTTTTCTCTCCGCCTCAGGGTGGCCTGTGCGTGCTGGCAATGCAGTCTGTGTTCGAGGAGTCTCTGCCTCGTCCCAGTGTCGACGCCATCCGGGGGGAGATGATGCCCAGTTGTTGGGTCCTGCAGCCAGTCAGACGCAACGGGCAGGAAATCACCAGAGTCATCTACCTGCTACAGGTGAGCCGTGTTTGCTTTGAACTAATCCGCTGGCTCATGTTCACTCAGTTTCCTTTTACAAGGTACATGTACACACAAGAAGTAGAAGTTATTTACTGTCAAAACACAAAGGGTCTGGTTGTACTCATGTGCAGACGTGGACGGCTGCAGACACGTTGTTATTGTAGAACTTTCTCAGCTGCTTGGATCACGGGTTCACTACATGTGCAGCACATATAGATATTCAATGCATGGGCACACACATCAAAACAAAATACTTCAATTTTTTTTAAGCTCCGCTGTTGCCCTTGTAGTGTCATGACCACACACAACAACTTGGAGGGTACGTAGACGTTCACAAAGAGCCTCGCCTACAACCTCTGATGACAAAAAATCGAAGCCTCCCAACAAACCAAACTTTTACATTTTGCTTTGGTGGATATGTACGCTATAGATGTCAAAGTGCAGTGAATGGATGGAGCCTAAACAGTATGAAATGGTAGTGTATGATTTCTTGTGTTGTAATGAAATGAAATATATCGTTTAACAAACATCCTACACACATGAAATAGTAAAAGTCGAGTCCGACCCGGGGAACTTGCCCAGCATCCAGCTTGCATATTGACTTCTACGTACTGACTCAAAAAAATGTTTGTATTAAACATTATTGTTATTTTTTAAATAGTTTTGCATTGCTTTACTTATTTACTCTCTAAGGAAAGTAATTTCTTTCACTACTTATTATATTACGTTACTCTGCAACACGAGACGGATTGTAACTTAACTATATCCACACGTCAGCCCAGTGTGTCTAAGCTTTCCTAACACACACAATCCTTGTTTTATGCTCTTTAATAAAGCACCACAAAGCCAACAACAAAGCTGGTGTAAACCATCCATCCATTATCTATACGCCGCTTAATCCTCACTAGGGTCATGGGGGTCTGGAGTCTATCCCAGCTGACTTAGGGTGAAGGCAGGGGACACCCTGGACAGGTAACCAGTCTATCACAGGGCTACACTTAGAGACAGACAACCAAGCACACTCACATTCACACCTACGGACAATTTAGAATCACCAATTAACCTCGACATGTTTTTGGACTGTGTGGGAGGAAGCTGGAGAACCCGGAGAGAACCCACGCTGCACGTATAGAACATGCAAAGTCCACGCAGAAAGATTCCGGTGCCCCCACCGGGACGCGAACCGGCGACCTTCTTGCTGCGAGGCAACAGTGCTTGGTGTAAACCAGCATAAGAAAAAAAGATAACCACAGTGGCACTTGCTATACTGCCTCAAAATAAATATAGTAACTGTACTGTAGCTGTTGAATTTAGAAATGGTAATGCATTACTGTTGACTTTATGGTTTGCTACTGGCAGGTCCATCACTGTTACTGAAATAGGTTTGATGGAGCAGAGGCCTATGAAGTTTATTGTTGGAGCTGGTTGACACCTGACCAGACATGTACTCTTTAGTAACCACTGAACTAAGTTTTACTAAAAGGTTATCCTCTTTACAATGCTAACCGTTAGCTTGAAACACTTGTTTTTTTTCCATCAAAAGTCAAATCAGTTTTACCACTAGCGGTAATAGTCGTCTGTTTACCTTCATTTCAACCCAGATTCGTCCATTCAGCCTACAGTTAGCCGGCAATGCTGCATGTAAGTTATGTGTGTCATCACCGTATCATTTTGTTCTCATCCAGCTGGACCTCGGGACTCCATCTTTTCCTCACCGACTCTTGAACGCCGTCGCCAGAAGACAGGCAGCTGTCGTCGCTGATCTCGACGCTTTCGTCTCTTCGTAAATCCGCCGGACGCACGAAGACGCTTTAGTGAGCACTTAAACTGTCTCCAGCATGGAGTTAGTCCGTCTTTACAATTTGCACCTAAAATTTATTTACTTGACTTTTGTTTTTTTAATTATTTTAAGGGCACTGTTTTGTTTATATCCAGACACAGAGTTGAAGCAGCTGTTTTTTTTTTTTTCTATGAAGGTATTTTTTTTATAAAGTATTGATATTTTTGTATTCGTACGTGTACAGGAATGCTTTTAACAATCTATTTTACCAAAGATTCATCAGAAGTTTAAGTGAAGGATTTGGCATTAGAGATTCTGATACTGAATTTAGGTTTAGATCACTTATTTGGAGCAAAGCTACACCTCATCCTTTCATTCAGTCGATAAGAAAGCTTATTGATTCTGTTATAGGTGTCTCAATACAGTAATTTAAAGTGACACTGATTTGATATATATTTACAACACTAGGGTGTTTGAGGCATTGTTGACTGTCTATCGGTCTAATATAGATATCTGCAGCCAGTTCCTTTCAAGTTTTAAATTCACCAATGTGCCTCAAATACAAATATAACATAGGACATCTTTAACTGTACCCGAAATGAACCGAGAGAATATTCACAAACCGCTCGCAAGTCCTTCTGTGCTGCATTTGTGTACGGAGAATATTTCCCGAGGCGCTGCACATTTCACCGCTCAATGACCTTAATTCAGCAGAAAATGAGTTTCAAATGTCCTTGGGAAAATGAAATGTATGTAAGCTGTGTATTAGATTGTAGCTCCGTGTAGTTAAAATGCAAACCCCACCTGAAGAAATGGTGCTAAAGAAATGATTGTGTCTCTTTAACCATGAACTGTGTTGTGTGTCTTGTCTGTATGTGCACTGCAAATGTTAACCGCCGCTCTCTCTCTCTGCCGAAATGTCAGACAAAAAAAAAAACAGTTTTGTAGCAAAACAAAGAGGTGGCAAGTTGGAAAATCTGCAACTTTTTGGATGTAACAAGTCGAAGGGCAAGTAGCCGGATCAGCTTTGAACCAGAAGTCGCTGGTTCGTGCCCTCGTGTCAGACGTTCAGCCTTCTGAAGTGTCCTTGAAATGTGGAAAAATAAAAAGTAGCTCTGAGGCAGATGCTCACATACTTCATGGTACCCCGAATCTGCATAAGCTGAGTTTTAAGGGCTTCTTTTCTCACGCATTTCTGAAGTTTAGTATTTATTCCCTTCCCCGTTCGCCTTCTGTTTGAAATGCTGTTGAGTGCGTTTTATAGTTTTTTATGAGCAAAGCTGTTTACAGCTGCGTGCACAGAACTTTTTTTTTTTTAATGCGTTTATTAATATTGCATATGAAAAGTGATTGTTGTTTGTACAGCGTTGATACTATGCAGAAGCTGATCAAAGGCAGGACTGCTCTCAGTCAAAGCTGGGTCACCACTATCCAGATATGAAGCCATACTATTTACAGTAGATGAAGGTTCACGACGGTTTTGGCTGCAGCTGCAGCGCTCAGTTTGACTAAACGAAGGAACCAAAGAAAGACGAGTTAAGTGAAGGAACGCAGCGGTAACTTTTTGTACTGATTTTTTTTATGTTAATCTATATATTTTTTAAGTTTGTGTAAAAAGTCTTGTTATTTATGTTTTGGCAGTGTGTTGTACATGTGTTTTGACTATGAATACAATGCTTCTGGTTGCTAATAAGCTGATATTTGGTCGTGTTTGGCCATTTTTTAATGAAAACAATAAATATGTTTAAGTGAAATGTTGTTATTCTGTTTTTTCTGCTGTTTATGTGAAGGTTTGTTATTGGACGTATCAAAATGTCTGGAAACAAAAGTCATCACATCCTTACATTCCTGTTTGTTCATTTGTATTTTATTTCAGTATCTTCAGTGCCGACTGAAAACCCGTCTCAGTACCAATCTACTGGAAGTTTACATTTAATCCTTGATCCTTTTCACACCTTTCAATCAATGTTATTATAATGTTTGTCATCATTTTTGCCAATTTCATACTTATTAAGCAAGATGTGTTGTTTTTTTGCCAGTGCTAAGTGCTTAGGCAGCTTTTCTTATTTCATTTGTTAAATATGGGGGAAAGCTGTTTAAGTGATCACAAGATATGTGTCTATAAAGTGGTATTTTAAATAATGTACGGCAGTATTGGTACAAGTATAGAGATGTTTTTAACAGCGCCCAGGGCAACAAGTCTGGTGTTTTCTGTAAGCCTTAAATGGTTGGAAACACTTAGTGGTTATTGGTTTTCTGGTTTAAATGCAGAATGTGGCCTGTTTTGGTTACTGTATGTAGCTTCAGAAGTGTTTTCTATCAACACGACACTCTAAAAAGTAATTCAAGGAAACTATTCTGACTTCTTAATTCAATTCAAGGCTGAAAAAAACAATCTAATTTACTGATTTAGATAAACTTTTTAAGTTGCAAACATTATTTTTGATGGGTTCTGTTTACATGATGTTACACCAGCTTAATATTGTGTGTAATTTCAACTTTAATTTCTGGATTAGTTGAATCAAAACTAAATTCAAGTTGAGGTAACTTGATGAAATTTTCTTCATAGCTTGTTTTTTCTTCACATTGAACTCAGGATCTCAGGTCCCCTCCTCTGTTTTTAGATGCCTGAACAAAGTACCTTCGTGTGTAGGGGAGGAGCTTATTTCCCCTCAACTCAGTGTAGTTAGCTGGTTGAACTTAATTTCGTTTTAAGTTGTCTTAACTCCAAAAGATTGATGCCAAATGTTGCCAGACATTGTTTTTAGACTGTTGAAAGATCACATCACTCTGCCAGTGTCATGTATGTTGCAGAAAGTTCTTGATATTTTGAAAACATCTCACAATTTCAATTATTCTTTACTTTTATCATGTTCTGCTGACTCTTTCTCTCAGTATCACTTCATCTGACAGGTGTTTTTTCACTTTGCAGTGGCAGAAGGGCATCCTTTCATAATGTGTGGATCTTTCTCCAGGTCTTGTTTCCATGTCTCCTCTCTGCCCTGCATGTAAAATGGCACGCAGAGGCAACAGTGGAGGTGACATTTCTAAGAGGGTCTCTGTGGGTGGGTGGGTGGGTGTTGTGTGCGCGATTAGAGCCCGGCCGGGGCGGGGTGGAGCGCAACAGCAGATCACAAGTGTCTCTGCCATTTAGAGTCACCAGCTCTTGTCAGGAATGTCCGTCCCCTGCGCGCACAGATCATGTACTGGATGCGCCAACTTTATTTTTAACCCGGCAGGGTGGGTCAGTCGCTGGCTTTCGGGAATGACCGTGGAGTGCGCGGCGCCTTCAGCCCCTTTCCCTCGTCCCCGGTGTAGGACCGTGCCCTCCGTGCGCTGTGGAGACCTCCGTGCGCTCTGACCAGGACGCCGCTGCTTCAATGGGATTATAATTGGTTTATTGGCAGGGAGAAGGCTCAACATAAACACTTTCGGACAGGACAACATCCAGAAGCAAGTAAGTGTAAATTGAGCTAATGCGCCACTGGTAGCTGAAATTATTGATCCTTGGCCAAATTATTTGTGTTACCAACCGCTTAACAGTCCCAGAGTCTGTTACTGTTGGTCGCTGTTTGTTTGGTGAGTTCCAAGTTTCCTTGAAACCACCTGTTTGTCCGGGGTGCCATCTTTAATAGTGACGTCGTTTTTAAAGGCTGCAGACCGGTTTTCATTGTGCAGCTGATATCAGCAGCTCTTTCCTTTATTGAACCCATCACCTCTGTAAGTTCCTCACTCGTAAGTTTGTTATCTTTAACTGTGAGAAGGCCGCAGCAGCGAGGTGCGTCGATAAAATTACGCACGATAACGCCTCCGTTTGCGCATGGAATCGTGCGCTCTCCAAAAGTTGTTACAGTGTTGCCAAGTAGTTAAACAAGTAATCAAATACTTTACTGAAAAGTAGCGATACTACCAAAAAAAGAGAGAAAAGTATTTTTTATAAGTAAAAGTCCTGCATTGAAAACTTAAGTAAAAGTTTCCAATTGCGTAATTTTACCACCATGTAAAGCAAAATGTCCCGTGTGCAGCTTTCTGTTGTATTCCTCTGCTTGAACATCGTTATATTACAAGCACATTAATGTATAAGAAGCATTTTATTATTGTAGATGTAGATGGAGCTGATTTTCCATACTTTTTTAGGAGAGCTGAATCAACAGCTGCATCATATTTTACAATCCTGTCAGTGTTTTATTATGTAACAAGTTCTGATTTTATCTCAAATCTTCTGGAACAGAAGGATCCTAGAGGTTGACATGAGATGAAGCTACTCACTTACCTGAAATATGTACTTAATTACATTCCACCACTGATGTTTACATAATCCAGAGTACTTTCCACTGTTTCAGATTTTCTATTTTTGTCTCTCTTAAAGAACCCAGCCGTGCTTTTTCCCACCCTCCATCAAAAAACAGCGTGTTTGCTTTTGAAAATGTTCAAGAAATCCCTGCACAAAAGAGACGTTCCCACTTATTCCCCTTAAAAGGACAAGTGTGAGTGTGTCTGCAAGAGCAGGACTTTAGTGTAAACACACTCCAGGAATAGTTTACTATCGATTCATTTCAACCTCTTGCAAGATCAGGCTCAGTATTGTTGCAGTCAAAACAGCATTGACCACAACAAGGGAGGCTTCTCTTATAGCGTCTGTACATAATCAATGTGCAGTATGGATTCTGCCTAACAGCCTGTTTTTTTGCTGTCAGTTTTCCTGATAACTTGTTAAAATTCACAAATTAATGTCAGTTTGGTTGTTGATTTTTTCCCCCCTCCTCTCTGTCAACACCTAACTAACAATCTCCTTCCATATTGATCTCTGTTCACTTTGTGTTTATGTCTCAGGTTTGCTCTCAGCTGGACCACAGGCCTCCCTCAGTCCAGCCACCACCGCTGCTGCTGCTGCTGCTGCTGCTCACACACACTGTAGGTCTCTCACACACACACACACATCTTCACCACACCCATCTCTTATTTCATCCTCTCCGTCTGACTCTGTTTTGCTCACAATAATGCGCTTACTTCTTGCTTGCTAATGTGCCGTGCGGCTCAGAGTGCAGAGCAAGCATCAGCGTGGACTTTACTTACAGCTGGAAGAATGGAGCTTAGCATTCAGCTCAGGTGCTCATTCGAAGATATTTGTTTACGGTGTGGTTTTGAAGTGGCAGAGAGGACGGGAAATTGCTGCGGGAAGGTTAGCGTCAAAGAAACTCGGCCGACCTTAAGAGTAAAAAATCTCATTCACACGTTTTAATAATTCTAAAGGCAATTATGTGCAGAGCTGCATCCACAGAAATGCGTAATTTGTAAAGTCCAGCAAAAACCTGAGACGCCTGGATGTCTGTTAAAATTCCACCTGACATTTTTATCATCCCTCTTGACATTTTACTACTTTTGAGAAATTATCCAGTGACTGTTACACACTGACTGTATATAAAGAGCTCTTACTCACCAGTTTACTATGTGCAGCAACAAAAATGATGTATTTACTGGACCATGTTCTGGAGACTTTATCTCCTGCAGGGGAAAGAAGGGAACGCAAGAGGAGCCAGAGTATTACATAATCTGTCTTATCAGTAGAGGCCAATTATAATGTCAGAAAATGTAGTTGTATGAAAATTTTATCACATTCATCCACAAAACTTCACACTAATAATGTAGCTTTCAATAGAAGTACGTCACTTTGGAGTCACTGATGTTAGATTTTGTGATCTAAAACGTATAAAGTAGCAGAAAAATTATTTATTTGTTGATGATTTGATCGCACAAAATACAGAATAAACACGTAGAGCAAAATATAGTAAAACAAACTCTCAGCTCAAAGTAAAAGGCCCGTATGCATGTTAATCCATATGGTAAGAAAAATGTCCACAAAGGGTCAGAAATACAGTTTGTGGAGCAAAGAGGGCTAGAAAGCTGAAATCCTGACAGATCAAATCACAGTAGAACACAGTTTAATGTGATTACTTCCCGGTGGACACCTCTCCATCCTGATATGTTTGATAAATGTTCTCCAGATCTTAAAGAGCTCGGCTTGGGCATTGGTCAGTCAAGCCTTGTACGAAATTTCTTCAAAATACAGACAATAAATCATTTAGCCATTTATAAAGCAAGGAGGGGTACTGATTTAATTCTTCATATTATGGCCATAAAAAACAGGAGGGCTCGTTGTGATTCTGTGGGAAGAGACGAGATCAGAAAACTGTTTTGATTGTCAGTTCATCTTTTATCAGGTAAAAATCCTGAACCTCTGCTGTTGGCACTTTAGTCCATGTATTGATTTTCATGCCATTGAAAGCTGCATGTCTTTGGATGTTGGACTGTTAATTGGAATCACTCATGGAGCTGCAACTGCAGGTAATTAATATGAAACAGCCATAAAATGTTTAAAAATCTGTCAAATGCTCATCATAAATTCCCACCGTGCAAGACCAAACCTTCAACTTTCTTGTTTTGTCTCATCAACTGTCCAAAAATCGAAGGTCATTCAATTTATTATCGTGTTAGACAAAGAACAGTGGAACATTGTTATATTTCAAAGGATGAATTTGGTAAATTTTTGAGATGTCAAACTGTTGAAACTTAGTTATCACAATGTTTGTAAATGACTTTTCTGGTAGCGTTACTTTGCCAGATTTATCTCCATAGATGTGGATCAACTAATCGACACATTGGTGCAGCTACACATTTAATCTGGCCTTTAACTAATGATTATTTTCATAAATATGAGTCAAATAGGACTCAAATATCTGAAAATAGCGATTGA